GGCCATGGAAGGGAACTAGCCTAACCGTCCTTGACCTCCTCTAATGGAACTGCACCACAATCCGGCCTTCACAGAAACGGCCCCTAGGATGGGTTCTCTCCTCCGAAGTAATTGGAGAAGAATGTCTCAGCCGACAGCCAGGCCCTACACCCAATGGGTGGGAGACACCCCATGCAGGAGAGTCCAGAACCTAACTGACTCATTTCTCAGCTGGTGGCCAAAAGCCCCAACCTGGTATTGAGCCCTATCATCAATTCTACCTCATGTTCCCTCTTAGATACTAGCTCCTCCATTGCCAACTGCACCTTTCCTAATGGCACCGGTAACCCCTTCCATGCACTCCCGGCCCTTTGTACTTATGGGATAACTTAAACTCCACCCTGAGCACCCACTGGGCAGCACCCGATGGCTTATTCTGGATCTGTAGCAAACGAGCATACTCCCATCTCCCCTCCAACTGGACCGGGAGCTGTACACTTCGTATAATCCAGCCTGGTTTCTTCCTCCTTCCTAACCAAACTGGCCAAGAGCTAGGTGTCCCCTTATACCAGGATTTGCATATAAGGCCCAAAAGTCCCTCGATATGGGGGGACATCAAACCTGGGGGGAAGATGAATAGCCTCCCCAGCAGATAATCCAATATTATGGCCCAGCTACTTGGGCTCAAGATGGGAGTTGGGGATACCATACCCCCATTTACATGCTCAACCGTTTTATCAGATTACAGGCTGTTCTAGAAATAATTACCAATGAAACTCTGACAGCTTTAGAGCTCCTCGCTGCCCAACAGACCCAGACGTGGGCCGCTATTTATCAAAACCACCTAGCACTGGACTACTTACTAGCTGAAGAAGGTGGCGTCTGTGGCAAATTTAATCAGTTGGACTGTTGTCTACAGATTGACGACACTGGAAAAGCTGTCTCTGCTATCGCCACGAATATTAGAAAGCTTGCCCGTGTCCCAGTTCAAAAATGGTCAGGATGGGACCCCGAGAGCCTATTTAGAGGATGGTTCTCCACCTTCGGGGGATTTAAAATGTTAATTGGAATTGTCCTCCTGCTCCTTGGGGCATGCCTATTTTTACCCTGCATTCTCCCCCTTGTCATTCACTCTACCTCTTCCCTCATAGAGACCATTGTGGAATGTAAGACTGCCGCTAAGGTCATGTTATGGAAGTACCAACCCCTAAGTCAGCAGCCTGTCGAAGAAGATGATGTTCTCTAACCCACATATGGGTTCGAGCATCAAAGGGGGGAATGTGGCAGTGGACCCTAGACAAAGACCTTTCCAGACCATGTGGTCACCAAGGATTTTGCGCGGGCTTCAGACAAAGACATTCCTGAACTGAACGGTCAGCAAGACTTCCGCGTTTAACATTTCCAAATTCCTACCTCACCTGAGAGCCAGTCAGGAACTGGCACAATGGCCACATGTCTTAATAAGGAACCCGGAAACCTCAGGGTATATAACCCCAAGTCCCGCCCAGGTTGGGGCTCAGCCTCTGGATGTGAATCCACTGAGCCAGTGCCGGCATTAGTAAAAGTTGCTTCCCACGCCTTGGTGTCCTGTCTCTTTGTCTGGGTTCCCCGCAACACTATGAGCCGTCTCATTGGAGTAGGTGAGAAGGCTGCTGGACTAGAGTGGGTTAAGAAAATGCAAGGTAAGACAGTGAAACAGCTATAGGTATGGATACCATTCTGCACATCCAGAGAAAGATGACAGGAGGAAAGTGTAACAGGACTGCGGCTGGACTGTGTTGAGTTCCTACCTGAGATCTGTGACTATAATGTAAAATGAGCCCAGTGGCCCCAGTTGTATATGTGTATCTCTAATGATATTCAACTGCTCCTGTGCAGTACAGAGTAGGTGGATTGTTGGGTTTGGGCTCTGGATGAAAACAACAGAGAACAAAAGGTGAAGAAGTTAAATGTATTTGCAAGGGTGAGGGGACTATACAGTTGAGTCATAGACAGCTGGATTTTGATGGAAATGAGGATGCTAAGAAATAGCTGATAGTAAGAAAGTAAGAGGGGCCAATGGATTGGAGGTCTTGGTGGGGTCAAAGAATGGATAGAATATTGATGTAAGCGAGTTTAATGAATAGGAATTAGTGGCCAGATAGGGTAAGTAGAACTGTTATGTGTGGGAAGCTGCTAGATTAGTGAAGGGTATTTTTATGTGATTATATCTCACCCACTGCTTATTTTCTTTTGCATTAATTAATGTCTATTGTATTATTTCAGTGATGGAGTTATCATAAGCTATGGGAGTGGGGGGTCACACAGATTTTTTTAATAAACCATCTGCTGAGCTGTAGGTGAGTCTATTATATTAGTCAAAAGATCCCACAGGAGAATTCTAGAGATGGCCTTAGCATGTGACATTAATAAGCAGCTTTAAACCAATTTTTGAAAAACAAACAAAAAAGAGAAACAAACATCACTTTAAATGGAAATACCACTTTAAATAATACTTCTGACACCAAATGTGTGGCGTTTTATTCCACACCAAGCTATTCTTCAATTCTCTGGACACCAACTGGGTGTCCTACAATTCACTCAGTTCTGACACTAATTACCTGGAATTAATGCAGACCCCACAGGTTAAGGGCTCAGTCCCACAAGAATGCCCCAAACTTCAGATACCAGTTGAAAGTCCCAGGTTGTCACATGTACTTCATACCAACTGCATATAAATTGGGAGTTTCCACAACACAATCCTCAGGTTCAATAATTTGCTATAACAGCTCACAGAACTCAAGGAAACACTTTACTTACTATTACCAGTTTATTATAAAAGATACAACTCAGGGACAGCTAAGTGGAAGACTGGCATAAGGCAAGGTATAAGGGAAGGGATGCAGGGCCTCCCTGTTCTCTCCAGGCACACCATTCTCACAGCATCTTTATGTGTTCACTAACCCAGAAGCTTTCCAAACCTCATGTTTAGGATTTTCAGGGAGGTTCCATGACATAGGTAGGCTTGGTTGGCCTTCAGTGATTAACTCATCCAGCCCTTCTCCCCTTCCTTTGGTGGAGATGGGGTAGGTCTGAAAATCCCAACCTTCTCATCACATCTTGGTCTTTCCTGTGTTCAGGCCATTCTAAAGCAATCCAAGGAGCCCCAACCACCAGTCATCTCATTAGCATACAAAAGGACACTGTTAGCACTCTGGGGATTCCAAGGATCTTAGAAGCTCTGGTGTCAGAAACCAGGGTCAAAGATCAAATATTAAAACAAAAGCTGCTCCTAGCACCCTAACACTAAGGAAATTACAAAGGTTTTAGAAGCGCTGTGTCAGGAACTTGGGGCAGAGACCAAATATACAGAGGGTGCAAAAAAATGTATACACACTTTAAGAAAGAAAAACACTGTATTAAAATTACGCTGATGGGAACAAACTTTGAGCACCTCTTGTAATTGCAGAAGTCAAATGTGACTCGTATTCATCTTTTGTTATCAGTAAAAATTGAGTATTACAATTTTAATACAGTTTTTTCCTTTCTTAACCTGTCTATACATTTTCTTGGCACCCTCTGAATATGTATTATTTCACACAGTTTTATTATGCTAGTCGGTAAAAATATTTCCTATATTGTTTGAAAATAATGCACCTGTGTCTTGAAAGACGAAGAAGTGTGCGCATTGCTGTTTGCCTGGAAGTATTTAAGTGCACTATTATCAATAGTGATTAATAATGTATTAGTGGTAGGCATGACTGTTTTGGGGGCAATATAGGCACATAGTAAAGAATAGAACATGTTTGGGTTAGAAATAACGTATTACATCATATAATGTTTTACACTTTACAGAACACTTTTACATTAACTCACTTGAGAATAATATTTTCAACAAAAATGAGTCCAAAAGGAAACAAACAAAATAATATTTGCTGCATCCTATCAAAAGACTCGGAAGTACCTTCCATACCCACTCCATTCATTGCTTGGTAGACTTCAGTCTCTTCTCTCTGCCCCCAAGGTTAGTTGCATTATCTCCTCCCTTCCCTATTTACACAATATTAAAGGCTTTTCTCCTCCCAGGACAAAAGTCAAACTACTTAGATTGTGAATACTAGCAGAATGGCAGGACTCTGAAGCTGTGATTTTTGAGCTTAAATAATGACATCTTTCCTGGAAGTCAATTCCAAGTCCACGTCCTCGTTTTGGCATGCTTTTTATCTGTGACCTCATTATTTTTTCTTAATCTATAAAACAGACACATTCATGCTAATTCACTTCCTATATCTATTATCAGAACAGGATTTAAAATTCCTTAGAATGGCTCAAACACGGGCTTTAGAAAGATCAAGTGCAACATGTTAGCGACGTCAGTCCATTAAATATTGTTGCTATAGTCCCACAGGAACAACTTGTCTTGCTAACTCAAATTCCAGTTTTCCTACTCTTTCTTCTGATTCTTTATTTTCTCTTTGGCTGAGATTGGAAGCAGGGAGGGAGTAGGGAAAAGATTGAAGGGTTCGGACAAGGGCAGGGAAGCCCAACAGACCGGTTAATCTTGTCTGTGATTCTCTTCTTTGCTTCCACCCAGGAGCTAAGCGCCTCCAGCAGAACCGAGTCCAGGCTCAGTTTAGGTCAGGGTCACACTGACAAATTTTACAGAGCAACCTGAGGTGCCGTCTCAGGTACCCATCCCGGACGCCCCTCTTCGGGTCACCGTCAGGGGCATCCCGACGCCGGGCCCCAGGATTCCCCACCCACCTCCCTAGCGGGCACGCGGTCTGCGCACGGGCGCGGCCTCTGACGGCGGGCGGGAATGCGCTCGGCGGCCACCGCGTTACCCAGACCGCCGGAAGGAGCGGCGGCACCAGTATCCTGCCGCCTGTCCGTCACTCACCCGCCCACGCCGCCGCCGCTTCCGATTGGTGCGGGACCTGGCCAGGCCCCCTCCAGCCCCGCACCCCGCGGATGGACAGGCCGAGAGGGCGGGGCGGCGGCGAGCGGGCCCGCCCAGCTGTCAGTTACGGGGGTGGCCCGGCGGGCGGGCGGGCGCTCGCAGGCTACCTCGTCGTTCGCTTGCGCGCGCTCCCTCTCGCCGCCTGTGGGGAAGTCGGGGCCGCCCGAGCGGCTGCCGCCACCGCCTATCCCCGACCTTCTCCCTGGCCCCTCCTGGCTCAGTCCGGTCCTCCCGCGCACCCCCGAGTAATCAGTGTCCCCGCGTAGGGTCCGGAGAGTCAACGCGGCGGCGCCGGGTGGTGTTTAAACCATGTTAAGGAGGATTTTGCAGAGGGTAAGAGTGAAATCGTCTTTCCGGCAGCACGTGAGCGGAGAGCCCGAGCCCTGGGCTGCGGGAGCCGCCGCGGCGCTGAGGAGCCGAGGCGGCAGCGCGGGCGCCCCCTCCTTAGCTCGGGCTCCTTCCCTCCCTAGGCCCCGCTGCCCGGGAGGCGATTAGGCCGCGGTCGTCCGCCCCAGGGTCGGGCCGTGGGGGCAGGGAGGGCGGGTGGCGCGACTGGCCAGAGCCCGGGGCCCGGCGCCTTGTCCTCCGCGCCCCCGCGCGCCCAGGCCCGGCGTCCGGCTGTGGAGCGGGGCTGTCACTGCGAGAGGGCGGAGGGGAGGGAGGGTGTGGTGCCGGCGCGTCCCTCCCAGACCTGGAACAGCGGTGTGAATGGAGAGTTAGTGCCTGCGGGACCCGCGGGCCGGCCGCCTGCCGTGCCTGGGGACCGCCCCGCGGAGATTGCGGGAGGCTTGCTCAGCCCAGCCTCACCCTCCCCGCCCGTGGTGCCCCCCAACTTTACACCACACGCACCTGCCACGTACCGCCTCGGTTTCGTATCTGGACAGTGTTGGAGGGTAATGTGGTGAAACCCGGCCTAGCATGGGCCCAATCGTGGTACCGGCATTTACTGGCAAAGTCAGCTGAGAAGGAAGGTATTACTCACTGTTGGAAACTTTTTTTTTCCCAATTAAAAATGCGTTTTCCCCTCCCAGCCAGTCCCTTTTTTGAGCTGTCCAAGAATAAATTCGCAGGAAGCTTTATCCTGTGGTATACACTTACCCCTTCACTTTCTGCCAGTGCTACCTGTATTTGAAACCTGGAAAAACCTTACTTAAGATATAAAGATTCGAGCATTGGAAGCTGTAGGTGTATTGTTCAGGAATCAGTCCCTAGACTAACATAAAATGTATTTTCCTATAAGAGTTACTTTCCTCAAGTTTTTGTTTTGGATGGCTTCTTTTTTTTCTTTTTTCTTTTTGAGGCTAATAGGGTGCAACAAAATGTAAATGATTGCATAGTTGGTGCCAAACCCATTAATTAGTTATTGAGTGAGTAGGATAACTAGTGTAAAAGACAGAAGAACTTAGTGAATTTGTGGTATTCAGCCAAGGAATGTGCTAAGGAGAGTTGAGTCAACCACTATACGGAAAGGGAGTGTTCTTGCTTCTGCATAGCTTTTGTGAAATGTTTAAGTAACGTGAAACTTGGTCATATATTGGGGAGACATAGTTAACTTATGTATCTGCCACCCATTTTTGACATTTGCTGATTTTTTTGCAGTGGTTTTGTCAGAGTTTTTTGAAACCTTGATAAACTGGTGATTTGGGCAGTAGCAAGGGCATGCCCTTTACTCTTGCCATGGGTTCCTCTGTTCATCAGTAAAGACATCTGTGCATGATTTACTTGTAGTACTTAGAGATTTTTCTTTTATCGGACCTGGAGGAATGGATTACCTCATGCCTCAGATTTTTTTGTCATGATTTCTCAGCTGAAAATCATTTTGCCTGTGGTTTGTTTTAAAGTTTATACATAAAAAAAGTGTTTACTGACTCAAGAGTAGCTTCTGGTAGTTAAAGATTAGTTTTCAGAAATATGCGATGCTTTCAGTACTGTTAGTTTAATGTTGTTAAGCATTACGATTATATGAAGATTATTTTTAGTGTTGTGCATACACATCAACCATTGCAGAAGTTTCAGTTGAAACTACAAAGTTGGAATTTATTCTGGTTATTGCTGAGATGTGACATGGAATCATCACATATGAATAAGTCACTTGACAACTGAGTTTCTTAACCATGGCAGCATTGATGTTTGTGACTGGATAACTTTTATTTTGGGGGTCTCTTCTTTGCATTGTAATATGTTTAGAGCATTGCTGGCTTCTACCCACTAGATGCCAGTAGCACCCTACCCCCCCCCCAAAAAAAAAAAATCCCCTTCTCCCTATTCTGACAACCAAAAATATCTTCAAGACTCTATCAAATGTCCACTAGGGGTTAAATTGTCCCTATTTGAGAACCACTGTGTTAAATGGATACTCTTTTATATGACACTTTGAATTGTTTCTCACAGTCAACTACTTTATTTATTCATTTTTTTCAGTGCACTTATACTGAGTGTAAGTAAATGCCAGTTATATGCTAGGGGCTGGGAAACAGTTAAATAAGATATTCGTCCTTCATTTATAACTCACAGCCCGGTTGTGGAAGTGGACATTTGAAAGTAATTACAATGCTATGTAATAGAAGAATGAAGAGTGCAGTGGGAGCTACTTTGTAGGAGGGTGTTGGAGCAATCATGAAAAGCTTCAGGGAGGAGGGCATATTCGAAGTTCAAAAGAGGGAAGGGCACGTCTGACAGAAGGAACAGCAAATCCCAAGACGAGCCACAAAGGGGATAATATTAGGGGGAACATCAACAGTTAAGTTTAGGAAGTGAAATGGAGATAAGGCTGCAGATCAGAGCATGAGAGGCCTTAGAATGTCTTTGGAGTTCAGCCTTTAGGTTGTGGATGGGTCAGTGTTAATGCTCAGCATTTAATAGGGACATTTTGATAAAAGCCTTAAAGAAATCTTGTGATTTTATTAGTAGTTTAGAACATGAATGTATATTTAACTCCACAGGTGGTATTTACTAACAAGTATAACTGGAATCTTTAAATTATGTAACATGGTAACAATTTTATGTTACCCCACCCTGATAATCTTACTTCTCAGCAGAGATATTAAGATATAAGATTAAATGAAAGTTGCTGTTTTAGAGATTTGTTTGAAATGGTCTCCATGCTTTGAAATTATATTGCATTCCTTAAACATTATGTTTTTAAATGACCTATTCATTTTAACTTGTATTTTTCTTCTGAACATTGCCCTTATAGCATTTTTGAAAGAAGAAACAGTCAGTGTGCTTATAATCAGTTATAACTCAGAGTCTTTGAACCAATGAAGTCCCTGGGTACTTTACAGAAATTTAGTTTCTGGTTCTCCTCCTCCTCCTCCTCTTACTAAAGAGTGTCTCTCTGAGGCTTGAAAGGGTCTGAAGAAAAAAATTGAGGTAGCTCTAATATGTTTATATTGACTATTTTGCGTCTTTTGAAGAAACATGAGAATTTAAAAGTGCTTGATTGCCAGAAAGATGATCAACATTTAGTACTTTAAACAGTTTGTAAACTTTGTTGCAATTTCATTCTTAAGGAACTTACTGTGATTTAACATTAGTGTATTCAATTTACTTTTACTAGTATATATCAATAATATTGCTAAAGAAAAAATGGACTTAATCTAGAATTGTATTAGAAATAGGAGGCTTCTTTCAGGGTCAACAGGTCTATCTGTCTGATTAAAAAAATGAGGAAGTAGAAACAGAGATATTCAGTGATTTATCTAAGGCAACACAGTTAGTAGATCAAAACAGACTACAACCAGAGTTTTCAAACTCCCAATCCATTTACCTTTTCCTGGCACCCTGTTGCCCCTTTCCCCCACTTCTCAACTGATATAGTTAGTACAGTGCTAGTCACTGTGGAAGATATGGGAAAACTACGAGACCCAACTTACGGGGAGGGTCTCAGAGGGGTACCTCAAGGAACTTATATGATTAAGTGCCAAAGTGAATGATATACACAATGAAGGCTATAAATAGTTCAGAGGAGGAAAGACTAGAAATGAACCTTTATGAGTGGGGAGTCTCCTTGGAGAAAAGGATGATGAGATGGAGTTTTGAAGAATGTGTGTGACTAGGAGAGGAAAAGTTTTATTCTAGGAAGGAGTTACAGTGAGAGCAGACTCAGAGATGGGAAAGAGCTCATTCTTCCCGCACACCCTCCTTCCTTTGCATATAGGTCTTTCAGTAAACAAGTAACACTTGCAATGTGCTGGATACTGGGAATACCTCCGTGAATAAAACACAGTCCCTACCCTTAAGTAGCTTAAAACCACGTGACTTTTAGAGAGAAAGAGATGTTTAGAATAGAAAGAAATTGAGAGAAATTTTTAGAGATTGTGTGACACTTCATTTTGGAGATTCTTGTGTAGCTCAGCCCTGTCCAGTGCAAATGAGTCACGTATATGTGTAATTTAAAGTTTCTATTGGGTTGTCGGAAAAGTCATGACATATTTTTCTGTTTTTCGTTGCAAAAATGCGTCATGTCTTTTCCAACAACCCAATAGTAGCCACATTTAAAAAAAATAAAAAGAGGTGAAATTAATTTTGAAAATATATTTTCTTTGTCCCATTATATCTAAAATATTTTAACATGTAATCAATATAAACATTATTAATGAGATATTTTTGTATTCTTTTATGTACTAAGTCTTTGAAATCTGGTGTGTACTTTGCACTCACAGCACATCTCAATTGGACTAATTATATTTCGGTTGTTTAATAGCCTTATGTACCTAGTAGCTACTGTATTGGTGTAGGTCTGGTTGAATACATATATAATTTTTTAACTTTTTACTTAGAACTAATTTCAAACTTACATAAAGTTGCAAGAATAAAATAATACAAGGAACACCTGTATACTCTATCCAGTTTTATGTATTATTAACATTTCATTCTATTTGTTTTATCATTCGTTCACTTTTTTCTCTTCCCTTTCCCTTCCCCTTTCCTTTCCCCTTCCCTTCTCCTCTGTAGTAGTGGTGGTGGTCTTCTTTCTCCTCCCCACCTCCTGCTCCTCCTCCTCCTCTTTTTTTTCTTCTCTCTCTCTCTCTCTCTCTCTCTCTCTCTCTCTCTCTGTAATTAAAATTTTTTTTTCTCTGAATCATTTCAGGATTAGTTATGGTCCTTCACTTCTGAATACTTAAGTGAAGAATAGGGATTTTTTCTTCTTTTTTTACATAATCTCAGTATAGTTGTCAACTACATAAATTTACATTGATTCAGTTTACTATCCATAATTCCAATTTTGTCAATTGATCTTATAAAGTCCTTTGTAGCATTTCCCCATTCCAGTATAGAATCCAGTTAGGGTTTAGATATTGTATTTAGTTGTCGTGTTGCTTTAGCCTTTT